TTTTTTTTTTTTTTTAATCAGGAAACTATTTAATTCATTTCAGGCTTTGTAATCTTCTCCAACACACTGTTAAAAAATAACAAACAAACAAAAGAATACCCAAAGCTAAATGTTGACTCTAAACCCCCTTTACCAGCCTCCTATTTAATCAGCCTTGTGGCATATTGGAAAATAGATCATTTAGTTCCACTTCATTATTATGGGGGCAAAAAAAATCTTATAGTCAGGCTTAAAGCACCTAAATACCTAAAGCCATATTCTAATCTGTAAAGCACATGGGTGTAAAACAGGCAGGCAATTTTTCATTTCCTTGGGGCAACATTGTTCATGGTGACGGGCAGGGGCTTTCTGCATTTCATCAGGCCCCTTACAAGCACGCTGCCAGGCACGTAGAGCCACAGTGGCTGCATTAGCCATCAGATTATGTCCAACGGAATGTCTACCCTGGCAGATAATGGGTATGTGGCTGTCAAGGGGGGCAACGGAGGGACCGGTGCAAGGCAATTTGAAATGGCTGGCTACACCCTTAGAAACATATAGGGCTTAATATGTCAAACATCTACTGAAATTAGCATGCATTTAGCAGTGCTGCCAGTGAAAGCCACCTGCAATCCAAGCAAATAGTTAGTTTTACCCTTAAAAAGTCTTGCAAAATACTCCCTATTGCCTATCCAGGAGAGAGTCGCCTGCCAGCAGTCAGGATTTCGAACCGCCAGAGAAGAGAGGTACAGGAGAGGTTCTTCTAACGTGGAGGAAACACTCATCTTCTTGTGGTAAAAAAACCCATGCAAAATTCTACAGTGCCACAGACATTTAGGACTAGGATTATATGATCTCCTGTGATGACAGGGGACGGGACTCAGTTACAGACAGGCCATTCCAATTGTATGTTCCTTCAGCAGATTTTGATCTGGCATCTGAGATTGTGAGACTGTTGATAAAAAAGCCCCAAATGACACTACTGACAAAGTGATAATATCTTTGATCTCATTTGGTTCGGTTCCTTCATATGTCGTTCATCAACATTTTACTATCAAAATAAACAAATGTAAATACTGCCTGATGATGCTGGTAAAAAACATCAATGGAGACTGAAGAATTAATTAAAACAGAAAAAAATTCTCTGGGGGAGGACCTATCTGGGACTTTTTGTTTTGAAATATGTAAAGCTGACCATTCCTCTCTCCGTCTTTTCTTTTTTCTCCGACTGAGCACTGCCGTCACCCATGCATACTGCTACGTTAATTAAGTGCCCTTAGGAAGCTGACATGAAAACACCTTTCTTCTGGTCCAAAATGATGGAGGTATTCTAACAGCGGTTGCATTAAAATATAAGAAAAAGGCACAAAGTCCTCATTTCTTTATATTTCACAAAGATAGCGACGCATTTCTGGACCTAGCCGGAAGCAAAAACTTGTTATTTTAAGTTGGTTTTCAAAATCAATCCATTTTCAGGGACTGAAATTGCTCTGCCTGTTCATTGTGTGCAGGCCAGACATTATGGATATCCTTAGGTTTGCTGGAGTAGCCGTGTAAATATGTGCTAGTGAAAGGCCGAGCTGATGCATGCCGTGGGGCTCAGGGTATTTGGTGACGAGGCAAGCAGCGTCAGTTCGGTAATTACCATGCCCTCTGCTGGGAGTCTGTCCTGCCACTGATAATCAAAAACTTGACCTAATAAAGCCTTTTCTCTCTCCAAGTTCCCTTGCACTGAAGGAACATCTCCTCCTCCTTGCATTTGGCCGAAGGGCCGGTCAGCCGGGGAGGGGGAGAGATGAATAGCAGGGTGCTCCGGAGGCGAGCAGGGTGCCTGGGTGTTTGATCTGTGCAGGCGGCATCTGTGAAAAGCTGCATGCAGTTTGCAAGCCACAAGTTGTTATCGTCAGATGCAGACACGGTGCCGTGCACGGTGCAGTGCAGAAACCGTCTGGTGGCATGCTGACTGCAGAGCCGCCACACAAGGAGAGGCTTATTTAAAAATACAGACACGTAAGCAAGACGGAAACCCCACCTCCATGTGATTGTCTGAGAGGGATCAAATGGGTGGAAATGCCACAGATAGACACACTCCTCCCAGCATAATTGTTACTATCACAGCTGTGGTGGAGAGAGGGGGAGGAGAGCGGATGATGCAAGGAGCTTGGCATCACGCTTAGCCATCGCTAGACTGCACCCTTTCGTAAGAGGCGAGGAAGCGCTGGAATCCACCCGAGACAGCCCAGCTCTGCGCGCCGTCACCGGGTGTGCAGAGCTGGGACTGCAGAGCCGGCAGTGACACGCTGCATCCCCATCTGCATCCCCATCTGCGCCCACATCTGCGCCCGCTGCGCAACCCCCCGGACCCACCCAGCCTTCCCACCCTGCCCGCACAAAGTTTACCCAGCAGCCATGTGATTTACTCCAGCAACTTATTTTCAGAGCTCATTACAAAGAGTAATTAAATGGTCGTAAGGTCCCTAGCCTTAACCCTATTTAGTAGATAAAGTGGATAATTAAGCATTGTTAGCTCTATTTTGCATCTATGGAAACTGGTGAGAGGCTAACACAAGGTCACAGGGCTACTCTGAGGCAACTCAATTATAACACATCAGTAACTAACTCCATCAAAACCGCTGGGATATTTTGTTGATTTTAAGGAATTACGGATCAAAACTGCTATTCCTGCCTTGTCACTGAGAAATGTAATACAGAGAAGTATCACATGATTTCACTGAACCAAGTACTGGAGACCTTGAAATGAGCTCTGATATTTTGTGTTTCATCTATCAGGTGAGAGAACCACCGCCTCTTTTTAAACAATCTCCCATGTAGCTAATTGTTCGTGCATGCATATCCTTGTACTAATATATAACGAAGCGGTCAGATGTGACAAATCTGATACCCGGCCTGTGGAGCAGAGTTTTAAACGTTTTTATTTGTAGCTGCCTAGGTAGAACCACAAACCCCTGACACTCGTTCTCCATCAGTTTTTCGTTTGTGTTAACTGCAGCGACGGCTCTGAGACGTCGGACAAGCCTTCCCCACGTTGACCGTGAGTCACGGGAGGCTGTAGTTCGAACTGCTGTATCCTTCAGGCTATATATAGCTCTATGCCTATAAACTATTATCTCGCTTTTGGCCAGTTGGCTTGCTTCATTCAAAAGTGTTTATCTTGCCCTAACTGCCAGCCTAAAGGTGGAATGCTATTTTCAGACTATGAGAGAGGCCTAAAGAGAACTGAACTTTTAAATACTCCCCTTTCCCCAATTTTTTAATACCTTAGTATTTTATGCAAGATAGTACAAATTGAAGACCTCTACTTATTCACAGTATATGTAGAAAACTGACAAGCCTTCTCTGCTTACATGTCTCAACCTGATTTCTAGGAAGCGGAAAAGACTTCAAACATTTTTAATTTTTGCTTCACTCCTATGGCAGACCAGTAAGGCTCAAGAAAAGACCACATGCACTTCATGTAGGGACCGCCAGCCAGCCACCAGTGTGGACAACAACTATCCCAACAAACGTAGGATCATTTGAACAACCAGCTTCACTGGGCCATCCCATCTCCCAAATCCCAATTGTCTTCCAAAGCTTTCTGAGGAAACACATGATTTACCCACATAATCACAGCAAACATTGAATTTCATACTTTCATTTAAACCTACAGAAAATTTGTGACAGATTTAAAGGGTGGGAAAAGTAGACCCCCTAAGTAATGTGTATGTAATAAAAAGCATGTTACAAAATACGCTGAAGTGCAAAAGCCTTTAAAGGACAATTGCCTTTATTAAATGTTGAAACAGTATGAAAAACAGAGTTCAAAAATTGCCCTTATATCTAAAATTCTTGATGAGAACTGAGTGGAGGATCATTTCTTGCCAAGAAATTCAGGTACAGTCAGGTGAGGTCCACCTGTGCCGCGATACTCAGCACCAGACATGGGCTAAGACTCCCTAAATTGGGTTAATACTCAAGCACAGTTCGCACATTAAATGACTTGGGTATGTTCTTTCTAGTACGGACAGACCCACCACTTACAGCATGGCACCCTGGAGACACCCAAAAGATTTAGACAGCTTTATTGCTTAAAAAAAACCCCCACCAAACCAACTAACAAAACTCAAAGCAAAGACTCAAAAAAATCAAGCTTCCTAGAAAAATGAAAGGCAGCTAGACCTGAGATAGGGACTGCACTGGTGGTACAGCCGTGCTCCCTCTCCCCGCCTCGTAGCTGCCTCTCACTTGGCGCCGAACCAGTGTCATTGTTAATTGGATGCTGAGCGATGGATCTGGCCACCTGGCACTCTGTCTGGCTCCGAGCTGATGATCAACTCACTTGGCAGGCTAAGTGGGGAACTGGCCACCTGGCTAATACGAGGGCTACAGAATCTCTGACGAGCTGATTACCAACCTGCTAAGACATTTTTTTATTGTGGATACTGGCAGTAACTTCTCTCTTTTGCTCTATTCATCTTTCTCATCACAACTTGTATGCTCACAGAGAAGCACCCAACTCATGACCCCCTCCGCTCTTTACTTTTCTCTGCCTGCTATAACAGATAAAGACAGACTCCTGCATTAATTGCTACACGGGAATAAAATGAGCTTCTCGCCTTCTCCTCCAATTTCTTTAAATTGTTCCAAGTTCCCTACCCCCACTCCATCCTGTCTTGCTTCTCACCATCATTCTCAACACTCCAGATTAAAATTTGTATTAGCTGAGGAGTTTCACAACAATTTTTGAATGGTGTAGTTTGTTGCATATTTTTCAGTTGGTAAAAATACCGATAAAAATTAAGAATAACATCAAAACAATGAACCAGACAAGAATAATGTGAAATCAGATTCATGCCTGAAGGCTAGATCCTCCACTTGCCTTGCACTCTGTTTTGTTATTAGCACTTGCAAAACCTTAGTGAGAAAGGCCACAATTTTGATTTGCTTTTTTTGCATTTATTTTGTATATATGTAAAGTACTCCACAAGGAGCAAGGCAATGGAAAATGAAGTCCACAAAAATATGTCATTATAGAATTCTAGAGTACTGTCAGCATCACACAGTGAAACATCCTAAGTTAGGCTATGAAAATTAATTTTTTTACTTCAAGAGCTTAAAGAAAAAAGTATTACAAGTACTGAAATCTTCTACTCTATTTCAGAAGTACTGTGATGAGGTTCCACAATGTTTCTAAGCTGGTCTTGGACTACAGTAAGTAGCTAATGCCAAGCTCTTACATCCATTAAAAATTATCTGAAAATAATGTACCTTGTTAATTGCAATCATTGTACAAAAATGAGATCACTGATTGGAGCAGGGCTATATTCACTCCTGGTGTGACTTCGTTAGCACAAACCAGAGATGTGTTTGCACCTTAAAGAGCCTGCTTCAGCTGCCTTTCATGGGGGCCTTCTGCAAGCTTAAAGAACTGGATCAGGCTAAGAAGTGGGAAGCTGGCCCAGGGGCTGATCTTCCAAGTTCTTAAACAGCCATAGTTTTAACTGAAGTTAACAGAAACATTTTGGTTTATCCAAGTGGAGGTTATGGAACTTATTTTTCTCTTTTTGTTGTATGTATGCTACAAATACTGGAGGGGAGTATACTGTAATTGTAACTTCACAGTTTAAACCAGTATAGCTTGGCACTGGTGCTGAGAGAAGCAGCCACGTGCTTCTCCATCCGCTCATGTCTACACCCATACAGCCCTTTTATTTGTCCCAGCCAAAGTTTTCATGTAGCCAAATGATGAAACACATCGTGAAACTGAGCCAGGTAAAAACCAGGGTCATTTCCCAGTCTTGGTTATGTTTTTCTGTGATTGTTCCCCCATCCATTCATCACACGAGGGAGGGAACGCCATGGGGACAAAGAGGAGGCTGGGAACTGCAGAAGGGGGGATCACTTCTGTGGCAAGTGCTGTCCGAGAGCAGCTACCATCTGCTGTGAAACCACAAGATAAACAGCTCACCTCTAGAGACTGCGGCACCAAGGAAGCGTTCATAGGATTCGTTTAGCAGCAAAAAGATGTTATGAGCTGAAAATATGCACTGAAAAATGGCAAAGTGTGTTACATTGAGGTAGCAGATGTGGGTAATCCTGATGAAGTCTCTTTACGTGAAATAATGCTGTTCAATGTTCTGAATCTGCATGGTGAGTTCAGCTCAAGCTCTTAGCAATATTGTAAGCATGAAGGTACATATCTATACTGTATTATTTACACACGCGGTGTCTGTGTCTAATAATATATTAACAGACACATACATTTGCATTAATAAATGATTAGAAGTTTACACTTTGTGGTCCAAGATAAAAATACTATAAAAGAAAGGAAGGAAGGTGGTCAGGCAAATTCTCCAGTGACCTGTCACTCTGCCTACCTTTTATTCCCCTCCCACGTGTTGTTTCAGAGCGTTAGTGCCCTGAGCAACACGATACCCAAGACAAAATTCACTTCCAAAATTCAGTTTGGGGAAGCTGTCTGTCAGAAACAGACATTTAGACAAAGTGCTGGTACCTTTTTAGAAGCACAACAACTATGTGCTCCCATGTCTCTGAACCTTCCCAGAATTAACCTACTTATCTTTTGTAGCTTTTTTTTTTGCCTTTTTCTTTCCAATTTTCATAATAGCCCTGTAATTATAGGAAGAGTATCTCTCTACAGTCTAAAGGTGGAATACAGTATTTTAGATATTCATTAAGACAGGAATGAATGTTAAACTAATCAAGTTACTGTCTTCACATTTTTAACCTTTTTTCAGCTGGACAACTGGTTTTCCTGCATCCACGCTGGAGAAGGATTCAGGAAACTCTTACTGCTTTTTAGGGAGCTCTTATCACCATGAGCACCATCTTGGACCACCTTTGAGCAGCCTTTACTCTCCTTCACCTTGTGAGCCTCTACCAATAAAATTACTGCCAATCTTTGTAGGAATTTATAGGTGAGTCAGGAACACACACACCAAACCACAAACATCACCAGCCACTGAAAGAATTTCCCCGTCCGTCAGAAGCTGCCTCCTGCAGAGCAGCATCACTCCCCTTTGCAATCACCATGCCACATGCCTCTTGGGTCACACCAGCGCTCTCTTGGAGAGCGGGGACAAAGAGGCATTTGGCTCTTCGTGTACCTGCTGACTTGCCTGCATTTCCATCCTCTTCCATGCGGCATTGGTATCTGTTCCTGGCAGCAGTGTCTCATCACTACTGGACTATGGAGCCCTCTCTGTTCCTGCTTGCTGGTTTGACCCCACTTCTCCGTTCTGGCTTTACAGCCACATGTAACTTCGCTTTGCTCCTCTTTATGTCTCACAGCTCACATAAACACTGGACTACTAATATTAAAAAAAGAAAAAATCCATTGATTTTAGCTGTCTTTCAGTTTCAGGTGTCTAAATGTCAGGCTGCAAGAGGCTCTCTTGTGCTCTCTGACTCTATCAGAGCTTGAACCATCAAGTTATTAGGTAACAGCTCACTGGCGCAGAGCTCCTGCCGATGTATTCAGCTGGCTCAGCTCTTTCTGATCGGAGAGTGCTTTCCATTTTTCTGACTGGCAATGCATCCCATCAGCAAGGGCCCACATTATTTTTTAATCTTCAACTGGTGAAGGGCTGCTGAACATGTACGATTCATTTCCAAGCGTGGCGTTTAGCTCTACTGGTGCTTATTTTGCCGGTCTTAGGCATCAGTGGAATACTTGTTGCTGTTTGCTAACAGGCTTTGAAGACTTCCACCTGTGGACACGGATGATGGAAATTGTGGGGCAAGGGATTTATTACAACACCTCAGCATTTGCCGCTATCTTAGTAAAGTTACTTCTGTTATATAGCTGTCACTGCTAACGTCAATCCAAATTGGAGCCAAGAGCTGCTGAGCCCCAGCAACGTGCAAAAGCAGTGAGTTGTTCCTGAGTGCCTTGCCAGTGCCCCCATCGCTCCTCTTCAGTGCTCGCATCAAACTCAGCCGTCGCTTCTTGGTTCTGATACTCGCTGCACTGACTGATTAGGAACCCGTAAGCAACTAAATTTTAAGGTTGGTTTTCTTTAAGTGGCCTGGCAGCCCAAGAATAGCTCTGTGCGCTCTAATACATACAGTATGGTAAGTAATGACAGATAATGCTATCAAGGTCTTTTCCTAGAATATAGGGATTAACTCCCCTCATTAAAATGTACACATTCTGCATAGCATAATGCAGTACTACTTCAGGACTATTTAGCCAGCCAAAAGATATTATGTTCTGTGAGAACTAGGATGATCCCTAGCTGTCCTCTTACTTCCCTGTATTCAGATTTTTATAATCTTTTTAGATTAGTACATAGATATCATAGCACTGAGCACATTTAAAAACCTAAAATAGACTACATTAGCTTAAATTTCTAGGTAGTAAAGAAACTCAAGAGGAGAGAAACATAATTAATTTGGAGCAGGGAAGGATTCCCTTGTGGGAAAAACACCCTGAGCTAAAAGAAGTAGTTTGTACAACATACTTCACAGTGAACATACAGGACCTGGCAGGTTACACACTCTGAAGACTGATGTCTTAGGTTGACGGTAGAAAGGTTTTTGGTTTATTTTCCCTTAAACATTTGTTCTTAGACAATTAAACCTTATCTGATTTCTTTGGATATTAAAATGTAATCATCACAAATTTCAGTGCTTGCTTTTTTTCTTTTAAGAAAATGGAAGTAAAAGCTGCATTGCCGGAATTGCCCAGAGGTATTTCCC